TTGTATTTATTATTACATATATGAATAGTTAACTATATTTATGCTAATAGTTAGCCATTATTTTTTTATTATGCTAACTGTAATAGATAAATACGTTATTAACATAGTTAACTATGTTTATCTAAATAAATAACTATTACAACAAAAAATTTATATAGTTAATTATGTTGTAAATCGGTATAGTTATAAAATAGTTAACTATGTTATGAAAATAGTTAATTATAGTTTTATTCGTACCTATTTTTTAAAAAATAGTTAGCTATGTTTTAGATAGTAACAAAATAGTGTGAGATAGTTAACTATCTTTTAAGATCAATAGTAGGTTCGAAAATAGTCAACTATATTATTAATCTTAGCTAACTACAAACAAAAATTATGTTAACTATGTTATTTTATTAATCAAAGTAAATATTTTTAGAGATTTTTTACTATTTTTCTTTAATTTTTGTAGAGACAAATTCATCCAACTTTTTCATCTCTCTCCTAATTACCTAAATTTTATTATACATATATTATTTTTTTAATTATCTATCCCAAAACTAATATTCAGTTAATTAACCTTTTATTTAATTTCACAGATGATTTGATTTATTTATTTTTTTAATGTGTTTCCTTTGTAATTAAAAAGTTCACAACATGTGTCAATCATCCGATCAAACTTTTGACACGTGTAATATTTTTATAATTTGATTACGGCATGTTAAAAAGTCTTTATCTATTTTATATTTTGTGTTAGTGTAAAAACAAAACTTTTTAACACGTCGTAATCAAATTATGAAAACTATGAGTCAGGCCTCGTGCTAGTGTAAAAAAACACAACTTAGAACAATGGTTGAGGAGCAAAACCTGCTCGAACGTGTTGACAGAGATGTTGAGGTCGATCTCGGCTCCAAGGACAATAAGCCCACCCAAAGTATCGATGCCGGTCGTAGTGATTTGTTGAAAGGCGACATCCCGGTTTTCACAGTACTTGATAAATTGGTACGGCGTTTCTTCAAAAACGGAGTGGAACCACAAATTAAAAGACATTCTTTTCAAAAATTTACGAAAAAATACCGGAAGAAACATAGAAATTGAAGCAAAAATGCAGAAAATAACTTAGAACAGGAGAGAAAAGAAAGGTTTTTTACCTTTTTGGATGAAGATTAAAAGAAGAGAGGAGGGTTCGAAATCCAATACTTATGTGCGATGCACGAAACTCAAGCATAATGATTAACCTAGCAGCGTGTTCAGGCTGTGCCCACTTTATATAATTTGAGGTATTGGCCTTAGGATCCCTTGATATTACAAAATTTTGGGACCCCAAATTTATTTAAAATGGTAAATTACATATATTTTCATAATAATTTTAATTTGATATCATTATCCACACTAATTTTGAGTTTCAAATTTTTTTTAACATTATGTTTAGGGCCCAATTTTTTTTTTGTTTTGCCTTAGGCCTCCTAAACTCTGGGAACGGACCTGAACGTGTTGGATACAAATTAAGGTGTCGTTTTGGTGTCTTTTCAAGATACGTAGTCTAGAACATACCACATATTCACTCATAAAGACGCTTTGATATAAGATCCGAATCAAAGACACTTTGATATAAGATCCGAATCAAAGCATCTTCTTCAACACAATTTGCCGATCTCCTTTGTTGACCGATCACTAAAGTAGGGAGCTAATTCATGGTGTCGGATTTAGCATCCATCATCAAAATCCAATTCAGGTCCAAACGGATCTGAAAGACTTTTGGAAAGTATTCAAACTTGGCCTACGAATGGAGTTTGGCCTCGAAGAACGAGTTCGGTCTAGGCTCATAATGTTTAACCGTCATAGTAGTTTCC